TGGGGTAATTTTGGGATATTTTGGGTCAGTTTTGGGGCTATTTTTGGGGCTGATTTTGGGGTATTTTTGGGACATTTTTTGGGCTAATTTGGGGACATTTTTTGGGTAAATTTGGGGACATTTTGGGGATATTTTGGGACAGTTTTGGGGCCATTTTTGGGGCTATTTTTGGGACATTTTTGGGGCCATTTTTGGGATATTTTTGGGCTATTTTTGGGCTATTTTTTGGGGTGAATTTGGCTGGTTTTGGGTCTTTCTGCTCCCAGTGCAGCGCGCCGTGTCCCTGTTCCTTGGGACATTTTTGGGACATTTTTTGGGTATTTTTGGGGTAATTTGGGGATATTTTGGGGCCATTTTTGGGGTCAATTTTGGGACATTTTTGGGGTATTTTTGGGGTGAATTTGGGCTATTTTTTGGGGTGAATTTGGGTGGTTTTGGGTGTTTCTGCCCCCAGTGCAGCGCGCCGTGTCCCTGTTCTCCCTGGCCGACCCCGCCCTGAGCCCGGAGCCGCCCCCGGCCCCGCCCCCCCTCAGGTACCAAAACCAACAATTTGGGGCGAAAAAATCCAGTTTTGGGCAAAAAAAAAAAAATTGTAATTTGGGGGGAAAAAAATTCTTGAAATTTGGGAAAAAAATTGTAATTTTTGGGGAAAAAATCTAAAATTTTGGGGGGAAAATTATTGAATTTTGGGGGGAAAAAATTCTGATATTTTTGGGGAAAAAATATTTGAATTTTTGGGGAAAAAATTAATTTTGGGGGGAAAAAATCCTGAATTTTGGGGGAAAAAAAATCTGAGTTTTGGGGAAAAAATTTTGGAACTTTGGGGAGAAAAAATTTCTGAATTTTGGGGAAAAAATCTGAATTTTGGGGAAAATTTTGAAATTTTGGGAAAAAAATTAGAAATTTGGGAAAAAAAATCTGAATTTTGGGGGAAAAATGTGAAATTTTGGGGAAAAAAAAATTGAAATTTTGGGGGGAAATTTTGAATTTTTAGTGAAAAAAAAATCTGAATTTTAGGGAAAAAATTTGAATTTTGGAGGTATAGGGGAGGAAAAAAGGGGAAATTTGGGGCAAAAGAACAGAATTTTTGGGGGTTTTGTGGGGTAAAAATTGAATTTTTGGGGATTTTGGGGGGAATTTAATTTTTGGGGGGGAATATTAAAATTTTGGGGGGGAAAAATCCAAATTTTGGGGGGAAAGTTTGGGAATTTTGGTGGAAAATGCAAATCTGGGCAAATTTTGGGGGAAAATTTGGGAATTTGGGTGAAAAAATCAAATTTTTCAAAGATTTTTGGGATTTAGGGTGAGAATTTGTGGTAAAAATTGGGAATTTTGGGGGGAAAATCAGAAATTTGGGTGAAAAATTGAAAATTTGAGATGATTTTTGGGATTTAGGGAGGGAATTTGGGGCAAAAATTGAAATTTTTGGGAATTTTGGGTGGAAAAACCAAATCTGGGGAAATTTTGGGGAAAATGAAGAATTTGGGTGAAAAATTTAAATTTTTTGAAGATTTTTGGGTGTTTACGGTGAGAATTTGGGGTAAAAATTGGGATTTTTGGGAATTTTGGGTTGGAATTCAAGAAAAAAGGCATTTAGGGGGAATTTGGGATTTTAGGAAAAAAATTGTGATTTTTGGGGGAAAATTTGGGATTTTTTTTGGAAAATTTGGGAGATTTTAAGGAGAAAATTGGGAATTTTGGGGTGAAAAAATCAAATTTTTGGGAGTTTGGAGCCGGAATTTGGGTCCAAAATTGGGATTTTTTTCAGCCGGGTTTTTGAGGCCATTTTGAATTTTTTGGGGTCATTTTTGGGTAATTTTGGTTTGGTTTTTTTTTGGTTTTTTCCCCCAAATTTTGGCTGCAGCCCCTCCCCTGCCCCCCTGGACCTGCCGGGCAAAGTTTCCCAGCTGGAGGCGATGCTGAGGCAGCTGCACAGCGACCTGGAAAAGGTGAGAAAAACCCAAAATCCCCATTTTTCACCCCAAAATCCCCGCCAAAAATCCATCCTTCCACCCAAAAATCACATTTCCCAGAAAAAAATCACATTTCTTCCCAAAAAAATGGACATTTTTCCCCTAAAAATTGACTTTTTTTCCCCCAAAAAAATCAAATTTTCCCCCTAAAAATAGACATTTTACCCCAAAAAAATTCACATTTATTTCCCAAAAAAAAAGACATTTTTCCCCTAAAACTTCCCATTTTTCACCCCAAAATCCCCTCCAATAATCCATCCTTCCACCCAAAAATCACATTTCCCAAAAAATTCACATTTATTCCCTAAAAAAATCACCATTAGTCCCAAAAAAATTGACAATTTTCCCCAAAAAATCACATTTATTTCCCAAAAAAATTCAATTTTTTTTCCCTAAAAATAGACATTTTAACCCCAAAAAATTGACATTTTTCCCAAAAAATTCAGATTTATTCCCCCAAAAAATATCACATTTATTCCCCCAAAAAATTGACATTTTCCCCCTAAAAATTCCCATTTTTCACCCCAAAATCCACTCCAAAAATCCCTCCTTCCACCCAAAAATCACATTTCCCAAAAAATTCACATTTATTCCAAAAAATTGACAGTTTTTTCCCTAAAAACTGACATTTATTCCCAAAAAATTGACATTTTTCCTCAAAAAATTTACGTTCATTTACCAGAAAAAATCAAATTTATTTCCAAAAAATTCACATTTATTTCCCAAAAAAATCACATTTATTAAAAAAATATCACATTTATTTATTCCCAAAAATATTCATACTTATTTCCCAAAAAATTCACATTTATTTATTCCCAAAAAATTCACATTTATTTATTCCCAAAAAATTCGCATTTATTCCCAAAAAAATTCGCATTTATTCCCAAAAAATTCCCTTGCTTTCCTAAAAAAATTCAATTTTCCTAAAAAATTCACATTTATTTCCAAAAAATTTGACATTTTTCCACTAATAATTAACATTTTTTTCCCCAAAATTCCCTCCAAAAATCCATTCTTCCAAAAATGACATTTCCCAAAAAAATTCACATTTTTTACCCAAAATCCCCATTTTTTCTCTCAAATTTCCCAAAAATTTGAGATTTTTCCAAATTCCCATTTTCCCCCCAAAATCCAAAAAAATTCCCAAAAATCCCCCCAAAAATTCTCATTTTTCTTCCAAAAAAATCCAATTTTTTTGCCGTAAAATCCCCATTTTTCCCCCTAAAACCCCCATTTTTTCACCAAAAATTCCCAAATTTTCACCCAAATTCCACATTTTTTGCCGAAAAATCCCCCAAAATTTGGGAATTTCCCAAAATTTTGATTTCACATCAAAATCTGCAAGATCCCCCCAAAATCCCCAAGAATTCCCTAAAAAAAAATTTCATTTTTCCCCTGAAAACCCCATTTTTTGGCCAAAAAACCCCAAATTTTTGCCAAAAATTTCCAAAAAATTTGTGATTTTCTTCAAATTCTCGTTTTCCCAAAAAAATCCCCAAAAATTCCCAAATTTTTTTCGTTTTTCTTCCAAAAAATCCAAATTTATTCACCAAAGAAATCCACAATTTTCCCCCTAAAAACCCCAAATCCCCAAAATTCCCCCAAAAATCCCCATTTTTGTCAAAAATTCCAATATTTTTTGCCTAAAAATTCGGGAATTTCTCCAAATTCCCCTTTTTCCTCAAAATCCCCCCAAAAATCCCAAAAAGTTCCCAAAATCAGCAAAAAATCTCATTTTTTCCCATAAAATCCACATTTTTTGCCCAAAAATCCCCATTTCTTCACTCAAATTTCCCCAAATTTGGGATTTTCCCCAATTCCCATTTTCCCCCAAATTCCCAAAAAAATCCCAAAAAATCCCAAAAAACTGCCCAAAAATCTAGCAAAAAATTATCAATTTTTCCCATAAAATCCATATTTTTCACCAAAAAAATCCCCATTTTTCATGAAATATTCCCCAAAATTCGGGATTTCCCCCAAATTCCCAATTTTTCTTCTAAATTCCCAAAAATTCCCTAAAATAATTTAATTTTTCCCATAAAATCCCCACATTTTGTCAAAAAATTGCCATTTTTTGGTCAAAAATCACCATTTTCCCCCCAAAAATCCCAATTTTCCCCTAAAAATTCAGGATTTTTCCCAATTCCCAAAAAATCCCCAAAATACAAAAAATTTCCCAAAAAATCCCCAAAAATTTCCCAAAAATCCCCCAAAAAATTCTCATTTTCCTCCCAAAAATTCCCATTTTTTCCCCATAAAATCCCCATTTTTCGCCGTAAAATCCCCATTTTTCCGCCGAATTTCTCCATTTTTTTTTTCGAAAATCCCCCCAAACTCGGGGATTTTCCCAAACTGTGGGGATTTCTCCCCAAATCCTCCTTTTCCGGCAGGAGAAGCAGGACAAGGTGTTCCTGCAGGCCGAGGTGGCGTCGCTGCGCCAGAACAATCGGCGCCTGCAGCAGGAGTCGAGCTCGGCCGCGCGGCAGCTCCGGCGCTTCGCCCGCATCTTCTCCGGCGCCGCGCCCCACCACGAGCCCTGAGACCGAATCCCGGGAATTTCCGGGAATTTGGGATTCTTTGGGATGGGTTTTGGGCCCGGGAATTTGGGATTTTCCCCTGGAATTGTGGAATTCCCATCGGGATCGGCGGCTCTGGTGCCGTGCCCCACCAGGAGCCCTGAGCCAGATTTTCCAGGATTTTCTGGGATTTTCCAGAATTTTCTGGGATTTTCCAGGATTTTTCGGGAATTTGGGATTCTTTGGGATGGGTTTTGGGTCCGGGAATTTGGGATTTTCCCCCTGGAATTGCGGAATTCCCGTCAC